ACACACACACACACACACACACACTCACACACTCACACACTGGGACACCTAAATACATATTCATAAATACATTACGATAGGAGAAACGATTACAGTTTGATTTGGCCGCCGTACGCACAGTGTGCTAGGCGAGCAGCAAGAGCGAAAATCGAAAACAACAAAAGCGACTAACTGTAAAAGTCACGATTAGAAATATATGTAGGCTCAAGGCAAATATTGCGCTTTAACATCATCAGCAAATACTTTTCCATTTCAATTTGGCGTTATAGCTGTTGTTGTGATTTCGCACCACTGTGACTCTTTGGTAGTGCCTGGCAATAAGCCATTGCCAAGGGTAATGCTTTTAGGCAAATTGAATATCAGATGTGTATCTAAGATCTTTAGGCCCCAGCCAAGCTATGCCACATATTGACTCGTTGGGAAATGGAATTCCGCATCGGATTTCTGATTCGATTTTCTCACTCTCTCTCTCTACCTTTGGGTACTCTATTGTGCATGGTCTACATATGTAGCGATTTATATGTGTGGGTATGTTAAAATATACAGATATATAATTTTATAAAGTTAGAACGAAGCTTAGTTCACGAATATAACTTTTGATAAAGAATGGAGAGTATGGAATGGAGAATACTATTTCAAGTTTAGAGTCGGATTTCATTCAGCTTTTGATTCACATTTATATTTATATTTAAATTCAGATTCAGGTTTACATTTGGATTGATTCAGACAAGGACTCAGACTCAAATTTCGATTGAAATTCAGATTTGGAACAGATTCAAATTTTTTGATTTAGCTTTAGATTTATATTCACATTTATGCTTAGATTCAGACTTAGATTCAAACTAGGATTCATATTCGGAATTGGACTCAAATTCAGACTAGGATTAAGCTTCAGATTTAGACTCAGACTTTCATACATTTTAATTCAGACTCAGCCTAGGATTCAGATTCAGATGCAGATTTACATTTTGATTCATTAAGATATTTTAGCTCAGATTCAGACTTGGAGTCAACTAATAATTTACTTGCAGTATTACATAAATATATTATATATCTTGATTACTCTATGAAAGTTTGGTCTTAATTCAAATACATATGTCCCACATTCATTAGAGAATCGAATGCCAATTAGCATTGATATAGAGGCATACCTAAATAACTATCTTTATCAGTATATAAACATACATATACTCTATATACTTACACTTAGATATTATTTATAACTCTTCAGCCTTCAACTTTCTGATGTTGTTCGATGGCCTTAGCTATAATTTATATCGTAATTGGGCGGCTTTTTCAGTGGTCAGAACTGAAACAAAAGTATATATGAAAAAAACAAAAAAACAAAACAAAAAAAAACATTCCATTTAATTGTGAACCTTAAAAAAATCCGTTTGCAATTTACAATTGTCATTGATAAGCTTAGTTCTAATAATTGCTGTTTGGCTCTCTTTGGGGTGGGGTGCAAAGCGCAAAGTGGGTGTGTCTTCCGCTCGGTTCCTATTCAAATCGGCGGCCAACAAGTGCGTCCATATATATACATATATACAGATATATATGTATATATATATATATATATATATGTTAGTCTAAAAGTGTATATGTTAGGCTATATCAATAAAGACCTGCCCCCCAAAAAAAAAATTTTTGATTACCCAAATCGAAACACATTTGCTGCAAATTTTAATCACATCGATAAATAGACATATATTTATTTATATATATAGGCATACATATTTATCATATACACTTTATACTAAATAAGAAGCTTTGAATCATTTATTTCACTTCCAAGTTCCACATGACGTATATCATCTGAGTTCAACATAGTTGAGAGTCCGCATTTTCCTCATGTTTCACAGCTGTTGAGGCAGTTCATTTTATTTTTATTTGTTTTTTGGTTTTATTTCTTCCCGATATCGACGGAACGTACGATTATTTTTAAGGCAGCACAAAGTCCAAGGAGCTGAATACCACCTTGACTCAGCCGCAGCACGTTGTCGATAAGCTGATAATAGAGCGATAAAATTATAGACAAATTTGTTAAAAAGGAAACGCCGCTGCCCCGACTTAGTCGTTGCACCTTGATCGGAAATCAAAATAGCAGTAGTTAATATCAAACTGTAAGAACTTTAGCTCTAACTGAACTATCTTAGTATAGATCTAAAGACAGTCGAGATCGAGTAAAGGAGAGGAGAGTTTTATGATTGGTTTTGATCCTTGAAATAGGGCTATATATATTTTAATTTCATTTCAAAGAAAATGAAGGAGTATACTAGGAGTATGCTAGTTTGATATATACATTGCTAGATAGATATACATTGATATCATGTAGAAACGTTTCTATTTTTAGCGAAAACAAATAGACTTGGTATACAATGTAATTAAGTTGTTTATATACTACCGAAAAATGTAGGTCTAAGCTCTGTCTCGTCTGACTCTAGCTGTGTTCGTATGAATATTGATTGTGTTCTCTCCTGAAAAGTCACTGGAGAAATGTTAGGCCTCCTAGCTGGTGCTAACTTACATATGTATATGTTATATGAAAACTATTATCACACTTCCAACTATTATTAATTACAGCTTGTCGAAAATAGTCAAACATATATACAAAGTATCTGAGTTAAAGTCATCCAAAGGTTAGTGAAAAAGACGGGCGAGCATTAACAAGTAGGCGGGCTCTGACCGAGAGTGACCGACTAGAAGATACCCTGAACTCTGTGCAGAGCTGTCATTCCAATCAATCTATACTCCTGTTATACAAACTGGATATGAATTCAATCTTAAAATGCCCCAAGAACAATTTGTTTCTCCATGCAATTATTCCTGCGCAAGTGGAATAATATGTTACCTACTTTGAGGCGCGCGCACAAAATTGTCTTCTGTTGTAGTGCACATTAGATGGTTGAAATATAATTTCAATGGTAGTATAGTGTAATAGAGCTATACGATTTTTTCAATATGTTTGTCGTATATATTATCGTATAAGGGAGTGGCAATTATCGTATATGCTAGAGTTTTGAAATTTTAAATGAAATATAATGTTGAAATGGATGCATCCAATATTTCCATCCATCATAAACACGTTGCCATCATTTTATCATTGAGATCCTCCGCAGATGAAGATATATGCACCTATAATTTGTATAGTAGAAAATATATAGTATATTAATATGTTTCAATACCATCATCTAGAGCAAATCAAAATCTGTTAGCTTAATATTATATATGTAGACACATTTTTATATATTTTTCTTGTCTGATGATGCATCAAATTTTTGGTTGAATATGGGGTCGATTTAATGTGAATTCATTTTGGAAATGAATCCAAAAAATCGTAATAAATCAACCGCATGTTCAAGAAAAAAAATGACATGCCCCGGGTGAGGCTCGAACTCACGACCTTAAGATTATGAGACTTACGCGCTGCCAACTGCGCCACCGAGGCCTTGAGAGGCTGCAGCATTGCAGCTAATCTAAGCTGCATGGTCAGATATGTATGGGTATGTATATAAATATTTATATATGTGTGGATATAGATTTATTTTGACTATCTGTGTTCATATCATCTGCTGCACATGCAAAGCTCTCATTCGGATAAATCTGCAATCAAGGAGCATATTGAAAGCACTCGTTGACTGAAGGCTACCAGAACAAGGACATGCCACTAACTGATTTAAGAAGCTTCTTTTAGTGACTTGGGTGCCTGGCACTCAGCCACTTTTTGTTTGTATATATATTTTAAGCGCTGAATCTGTACAATGCAAGTTTAGTACCTTAACAACACAATTAGAATTTTTATATAACACCTAACCTTCTGATGTATTCAGGAGGACTTACAAATATATATTTACAAGTATCCCTAAACGACTTATCTCATATTTTTGGCAAAACCCAAGCGTTTTAATCGCCTTAGTGGTCTCGCAGGAAGCAATCTTCTCGCTAGTCTGCTCCGGTGTCTAGCCAGTCTGTCACTATATCGGCTAGTGTGATTTAAGAAGAGGAATATATATAAACTCAAAAACATACATATATACTATATTGTATTTTTGTTTGTTTGTATATATATATTGTATAGTAACGAAAATGAACTTCTACTTCAAACTCGAAGTGTTGCATACCTCTGAGCGCATTCCTAGAAAATATATATCATTGCATGCTTCTAGGCTTTTCTAATATCGAATGTTCCGATTGATTAATATTATAAGTAATTATAAGTAATTTAGTAATACGAAATAGATTTTAATTTTAATTTAACACAATATATTGAATCGAATATTACATACTTTGTTCATATAGAATTTTACACATTTGATGGGTTTCCGATTTTTCTGTTGCAAAGCAAAGCATTTTGTCAACGACCAATAATCCAGTGATACCCGAGCTAAAACGTATTTCACTAGATTATGGCTCGCAAACAAATGTTTTAGTTTAGATTTTTTCCATAGACCGATTACAAATTGAATGATAAATCACTGATATCTGACTCCCGAACTGGTCCGGGACATCGTTCAAATAGAGCACGTGAATATCACGAGAAACTCTCGTGTATATATAACATACGATATCGATTAAAGTTTTCCCGATTTTTCTGTTGCAAAGTAAAGCATTTTGTCACCGAGCTAAAACCTAGTTAAAACCGATAAATAAAAGAATTC